TGATTGATTACCAGCAGAGTGTTGCTGAGATATGGATTTGTATCTCAGCTTTTTATCACTATGACTTGCAAAAGGCAGTTCCTTATTTACAGACTCTACCTGTATTAAGTGACATTATTAGGTACTACTTTTGTTTAAGTGACACAAAAGCTTAGCATATTGGTGGTTTATGACATACAAGCTGTTTTAATCTGATGACTTACCCCTCACTTTTTCAATTTGTAAATAGGAGCTGCAGCGTAAGAACATATGGTACTAAAGAAATTAAAGCTAAAGTAAATGGCATTAAAACAAATTCAACTATAACAATAGGATACTCAATCTGAATTATAAACCTGGATCTGTATTAAGACTTTTAAAAACAGGAAATAAAAACCTAAATATGAAAATTAACCTTTCGGGTGTTTGTTTTAAAGACCATTTCAGGGGCTTCCTGTGATTGAGTAATTTCTTTATTAACCCTCATTACTTAGATCTTGTAGTTAAATGAATAAATCAGTAAAGATATTTTTTAATAATTGAAACTAGGTCTGAATACCACATTACTAAAAATCAGTTGTTTACCTTTTTAACTTTTGGGTTCATATCACATTGCTTCTGATACTGTAAAAATACATTATGCATTCTTAAATGTTTATTACAGTAAATACACTTGCTTATATGTATAAACACCATCACTGAGCACAAAACCAAAGAGCCCAGCAAAACTACCAGCCTAATGCTCATATTCCATACCAAATATCAATTAAAAAAAAAAAAAGAAAAATTACATTTTCCTAACTTTGTAATACTACAGCAGCTTACTCAAAAAAGGAATTTCATTATACTTTTCATGTAAATACGAAGATTTCCATCATTATTATTCTGCAGATAAGCTCCAACCTCTAGCATATGAAGCCTCATGTACCATAAAGGGTCCAAAGTAAAGATGTTCCTTATGTACTTAAATTTTAATTTAAGCACGTGCTTGATTTATACCAATCAATTTGCTATGTGGGATTAGTTCCATCATCTTATAATCCAACGACGACTCCATCAAAGACATATTTTTGGTACAGCCTTACACTTAGGGCACTCTGACAAAAATAATTTTTCTCATATGATGTATTACTTCAGCTAAGTATAGCAGCAAAAGTATTTTTATACCACTATAAAGACTTTCACGTAACTGCCACTGCTATACTGCATTTCTACTCAACTGAAATATCTCTTCAGAACAACTTATTCAACTTATGTATGTTTTTTTTTTATTTTGTCATTTTCATTATGGCTTGGAAGGTTGGTTTGTGTTGGTTTTGTTTTGTTTTAATCTACAAGTATCTACTTGGTTGTTTGCAACAATAAAGTATCTATCTCATCTGTGTAATTTTACAGAGAGCAAATTGTAAACAGGGTTTTCCATTCTCGAATCTATATATATATAAGCCATCCTGAGAAATATATTCATGAATGAAACAGGATTGCAAGCAGGATCTGATTTTAGCATTCTCTTAGGCTTCAGTATAAGAATCATGTATGATAGTGCTTCTACACACAAAAATTCCTAACTTAAAATCTGTAAAATATGCCAACGATGACACAGTCAATGCAGACTAAGCACAATTCCTACTAACACGACTATAAGGATTCTCCTTTTGGGGCGACAAGGGAAGCAGCTGCTTAGAGGTGGTTTCACTCTCAGCTGTGTTAAGTATGTCGTACTGCCGTTATTCCGACATCTCCAGTAACTGGCTAACTCATAACACCTAACCGTGAGTTGGCAAACGCCAGCAAAGAATGAAGCAGAGGTTTGAACTGCCTAATTTGGTAGTAGCTCTGGCATCTGATACTTTTTATTTACTGTACTGTAATAAGCTTGCAAACACGACAGGAACTATTCACTATCGCTCCCCAAAACAGGAGACAAGTTAGTCAAGGAAAGCTGAGCAGTTCACTGTAATAAAACCAAACAATCCTCTGACCTTTCACACTTTGGAGTCACTGCATTCAAGTATCACTCGGAGATTTCTCATTTTAGAAAAAGCAGGTAGTAGCCAAATATAAACAACAAAACTCATGACAATTTCTAGGCTTCGCTCACTTAAGGAGTACCTGCAGTTGTACCTTTTTCTCTGCAGTCAGACACCCCAGGCAGCACTTCTGGCCTTTTGGGATCCTAGGCAAGGCCTTTCCTCCATTTCGCCAGTCTTTTTTTCAAAAAGCCAACTCAGGTTAACTCTTCTCAAGGAAGCATCAACAAAACAAATAACCAGTTGTCTGTACATCTGCTGCTGCTATTTCTTTGAAGAATTTTGTGTTTGAATTAAGAGAAGAAGTGCATAGCACAGTGATTGACTAAAATAAGGAATCTGATTCGACAATTACCTAAACAGAGAGACACATCACTTTTCCCTCCCCAACAAGAACAATTTACTTAGTAAATAATCCAGTGTAAGTTACCAGTGTAAAGTGCAGATATCTATGTTGAGAATATACTCTTCTGTAAAGGAAGTGTCTCGTGAACAGATGGAAAGCTCTACCTCTTCAACAACCACTAAAGATAGGAGGAAAACACATACACACTAACAAACAAGAGCATTTCCATTTAGATCATTTCTCCCCCTAGATACAACTTATGATGAAGAACTAAGAGAGCTTGCATGTCACTTGGCTATATTTCCATACATCAGCCTTTATGAAAAACATACACAGGAAAACAGGTAATGGACTCTGCATTCCCCATCCTCTCATTCTCCTTCCATTTTGTATTAAAATTGAAGACAAGAAATCTTGCACCTAAGGCAGAAATTGTTCTACTGGATATTCATTTCATTACTTCAGGGTTTCCAGAAAGGCTGACATCCTGCTAAGTACAAACCTTTCCTGAACTTCCTTTTCAAGACTAAGACAAGTGAGGAACAAGATGCTCAGAGAAACTCAGTCTGCATCTTCTGTCAGCGTACATAGACTTCAGGTTTCCATTTCAGGTCGTTCTGCTCTGGGAAATTCATAGAGCTAGAAAATTTCTTCAATAAAGGTGGGTTGGGGTTCTTTGGGTTGGTTTTTTTTATTTTTTTCCTTAGTTAAATAGTAACACAATTTAATTTATGGAAAAACTAAATACTCTGTCCTCCCCTTCAAAACATAACAGAGAATGAGTTCTTTCTGTTCATGAGTGACAGAAGTGTAAACAGAAGCTTCAGTGGTACTGGCACTTGATCAGAAGGGCAGATTAGAGGCAGGTGCCTGAAATGTCTTGCCTCCACACTGGACTGGAAGAAACAACAAAATTCAACCCCTCAGAACAAGGTATGAATCATAACCTTGCCTTCTGGACCTAGGACTTGACTAAATCCAGACACTGAATCTAGACACAATGTTGACAAGAATTTTGCCACTGATTTGAGAAAGGACAGGCTCCACTTCAGCTGCTTAACACAAATGAAGCAACAGTACCTGAAGGCTCGCTGGTGAAGTTGGCTGTCTTTATGGTAGCTAAACTCTTAAAAGATTTATCTATCACAAACTGTAGCTGGCTCCAAGGAGCATTCCATAAAATTTTCTACCTCCACAGCACAGGACTTCAGCTATGGGCCAGATGCTAATTATTCTTATTCTAATTGTGAGGATAAAGTGGATATGAAAAGGCAACAGATCTTTGTTTTAAGATTCAAAACACCTGTGCAAAATCTGATGCCTCTACAAGGTGCTGAACAGAGGTAATGGTCAAACATGCTTTTGGGAAAAAAACCTACATTCTTCTGTGTTGTGGTTTAACCCCAGCTGGCAACTAAGGACCACGCAGCTGCTCACTCGCCTCCCTCACAGTGGGATGGGGGAGACAATCGGAAGGGTAAAAGTGAGAAAACTCGTGGGCTGAGATAAAGACAATTTAATAGGGAAAGCAAAAGCCGCGCACACAAGCAAAGCAAAACAAGGAATTCATTCCCCACTTCCCATGGGCAGGCCGGTGTTCAGCCATCTCCAGGAAAGCGGGGCTCCATCACGCCTAACGGGGACTTGGGAAGACAAACGCCATCACTCCGAACCTCCCCCTGTCCCTTTTCCCCCAGCTTTATATGCTGAGCATGACGTCCTATGGTCTGGAATAGCTGGGACAGCTGACCCCAACTGACCAAGGGATGTGTCCCCTCCCAAATTCTTGTGCCCCCCGCAGCGTGCTCGCTGGTGGGGCGGGGTGAGAGGCAGAAAAGGCCTCGGCTCTGTGCAAGCACTGCCCAGCAGTAACAAAAACATCCCTGAATTACCAACACTGTTTTCAGCACAAGTCCAAAACATAGCCCCATACCAGCTGCTGTGAAGACAATTAACTCTGTCCCAGCCAAAACCAGCACATTCTGTGATCATGATCTCTGATGATTTTTCTAATGATAGCCTAAAAAGAAGTTGCCAAAAACATTTTGTCACAAATCTTTCCAAACTTCTGTTAAGTCTATCTGCATAAAGACAAGTGAGCATTAAGAATACTTGTTCCTTTTTATTTCATCTGGTTTCCTAATTTGTCCAAAAAGTCAGGTAAATTACGACTTTTCCAACCATACTCAGAAAAATTAAAATATTGTTACATTGAAATATAGACATACACTATAGTTTCGAAAGCAAAATCCTCAAAGCTATTGCAGAGACAGAATTTTTACTTCTTAGTGTTTAAAATAGAGAAACAGTTTTGCCTTCAGACTAAGCCTTTGAGTCTGCCATCTATACTGCACCTTATGCAGAGAATTTTAGAGTATTCTTCCAGGGAAGAAGACCTAAGCAAAGAGCAGAGCAAAAATATCATCTGCCTACACTTCCTACAGAGACAAAAGACACTCACAAAGACAGCTTGCCATAAAGCAGAGTTTACAAATTATGACATTTTACTGTACATATACAAGAAGAAAGAATAATTTATGAACGTCATAATTTATTATGATACTCAGATATTGCAAATCCTTTACAGACTACCAGGGCTACTTAAATAATCATTAATGTACAAAGCAAGAAACTCTAATACTTACATAGCTGTGACTCTTAAGGAAATCTGAAGGGTTGCTTGTGCAGACTTTATCCCCTTCCAAGCCAATTACTCTTTTACAGATATTTGATTTGGGGTCATTTGGGCTTTTCACAATTACAATATCTCCTCTGAGAGGAAAAAACAGAAACAAAAACAAACAGAAGAACTCTAAGTACAAACTATTTGGCTGAATACAACTGCATCAACGTGTATACTCCCAAAATATTCACATACATTAAAGTTACTTCCTTCTGCTGAAAATGCTTGTCTACAATTTCGGTTTCTTCAGTTTTACTTGGGGTGTAATTTTACGCACAGTTTTTTAAAGTACATTTGGAGAGATTCTTTGTTATTTAGATCATTTATGAAACATTTAAGACTACATTTTAATTGACAATGCTCTGATGACATGAATGCCATTTAACTCGATCCTGTTGCTATGTAAACATGGAACAGAACAGATTCCTTGTTTCTAAATGTTATTGACCAAATGTTATTCTTCCAATGGAACTTCAAATGTCTAATCTGAGTCTGTGAGACCTTACATTACTTTTGCCTCTTGATTATATACATTAGATTGTACAATGAAACAGACCACAACAAAATGGGTGAAGGCCTTGAGCCTACTGTGCTCTACAACACAGTAATAAAATGACATTTGATAAACGGTACTTATACCATTTGGTCACTTTCCTAACAACCTATCTGAGCACAGCCATACCTACAGCCTGGTTTTCAAGAAAGACAAAACTGCTTGGAGAGGAGAAGTTACATTCACACAATAGAACTGCTTTAGGGAAAAAAAATGGGAGTTTTTCCATTGTTTGGACAAAGCTGTAAAAGTGATATAGACTATATCCTAAATGAATTCTGACAAGTTGTTCAATGGGCTGTATGTGCTGATTACTTTAACTTCGATCAGACACAATGAGAGGAGATTTACGGAAAATTACAATTTAGAAGCAGAAGAATATATGAAAAATAAAGGATGGCTAGAATGTGGTTATTGACAAGCTCTGGCAAACGGAACGTAAAATCTAGTCTCAACAAAGGAGCATACTTTCGAATGCAATAAAAGTGGCGGCTAAGGTTCTCCGAAAAGACAATATCAGAATTTTGAATGGTTGGTTCCATTGAAGGTCCAGAACACTGCAAATTAAAAATAAATGAGAAAAAATTACTATTTCCAATTACTTTTATCTAAAACACATTAATATTCAAATTATTTGCTAATAAATTAGAAAAGGTGTAACAAAGAACAACTAAAAAAGTGAGACCCTCAAAGGAACACGTGATACATTTAAAAGGTGAGGAGAGCCTCCAGAGCACCTCTAACTCTGTTACAGCTCCGTATTCACTCAGGATTTGTCCTGAACTGGGCTAGGTGCTACGAGCCCCTCCTGATCCATTTCAGCACCTAATCTGCGGGAAATTCTTAGGAGCAGCACTGGAAGCTCTGCCAGCTTAGCCCTTTCTTCAGCCTCTGCAAGAGAATCATCACAGAAGCTGCAAGAGCAGCTCACAGCTAAACTCCACTCTGTCCAGCAGCAGGATCTGCTAGGTTTAGAACCTGGGGAGGAGGGGGGGAACAGAAAACATCCAGGAATCTGCCTGCAGTTGGAAACAAGAGCATTTCCTACGGCGTGATTAGTGACTCCAGTCTTTCTGGAAGAATGTACTCTCTGCAGAATGCTTAATCATAGTTTCCCATTTGCTCCAGTGATGCCTCAAACAATAACTTAGAAAAAACAGGAATGCCGAAAGGAGAAATAACTTTCATAAAGGCTGGACCTGCCTCCAAAAAATAGGCTTTTACTAAACACACTTTGAAAAAGCTTTAATGAAAATGAAGAAACCTGAAATACTGGCATTATCATATATAACAATTTCAGTATTATGGTTTTATTTTCTTTTAAATGTCATGAAAATGAAAAGTTACCACAACAATTCCTCCAAGGTACTCAAAGGCACAATGCGCTATGCAGCCATATTGCACAGTATACCCAACAAATCGAAAGGTTTTTCCTAGGGCATTGCGAAGCATGGTACAGTGTTACGTCGTTCAGCTGGTTCTAGTCTACAGTAAAACAGAAGAATATCATTCATTTGATAACAACCTAACATTTACAAAACGATCTTTTGTATTTAACAACTCATGGACAATATTTTCTAAGAAAACAGTGAATAAAAACAGCAAATAATCAGATATATCTGAGATTAAGATAACTTAAATGCCATCAAAAAGTTTTTTTACTACGCAGACACTTCCACATGTACAATCAATGGACCCCTCTCACCAGCTTATTGGTAAGATTCAGTTGAGTAGGACCTGAAACAAACAAAAAAAACCCACCTTTGCCAAATTAGAGAAATTAATGGGAGAGAATGGTGTCAGTGCTCTCTGCTGACACAGCTGGGCTTCTTTTAGTCAAGACGGCAGACAAACTTACCTGCCGCATGTCTACATATCTGCAATAGTTATGAGAACATCCTCCCCCGCCAAGGGGTTTGGCTGAATGGATTCTGGAAAGCTGTAATCATACCTTTAAATGCAGGCTTCGACCTCCTGACTGGACCACATATGGTAACCCAGATGCAGTTATTTACTACGTAACACTTCACAGAGGTGTTTTAATCAGCTGAAGACAGTGCAACTTAAATCACTGTTTTTCTTCAAGCACTAGGATTTAAAACTGAACACTCAACAGCAAAACTGAGAAGCATCAAACCAGCTGAAGTGATTTGAAGATATTTCACAACTGAAATTACATTCACAGAAAACCGGAGTAATCTAGTCGTCAACCAAAACTTTAAAAGTGACCTGACAATCAATCAAATGAAAAAAGACTTGAAGAACTAGACAAAATTAAGGACAATAAAGGCGTGAATGGCTTGCCTAAGTAAGACGATACTAGAAAAAGAATACAGGAATTCTGGAGGTTTTGCAGAGCTTGCCTTTGACGAGACTTCCATTACCAAAACACTTCAATATAAAAATAAGGCATTAGGTCTTTCTCTTCTCAGCTACAGCACAGTGGCATAAGTTCTACAGCACATAAGACTGTAAATATCTTCTGACCCCCTCCCCCAAATATTTAAATCAAACTCTGATGATCAGATGTAATTCCTGCAATGCTAATCTAACTAAAATGTTTCCTTACCCCAATTTTTAAGATATTTTTATATAAATATATGTATCTCTTAAGGAAGTGGAAGACACACATACTGAAGTGACTGAAGCAAGTTTTACATTCTGCAAGAAACCTGTCCCCCTTAAACTCAGTATCAGGTGTATCATGAACTAAAACCACAGCAAGATTTCCCTCATTTACTAAGGTGGGTCAATATCGCCTGCTAAACAAATGCAGTAAGCTAAAAAAAAAAAAAAAAGAAAAATTCTGTGTGTACAATATGCCCTACTAAATAATGAAGTAAAGACCTCCCTTCTATATTTCATGATGTTTTGCTATTTAAATGCAGGAATTTAAAAGTGCATAGCTTTACTTGCACAACTCTAGAAGTTAATAGGAATTTTGCCTGAATACAATCAGAAGTGGCTTTTGTTCTTTGCATTTAGTATTTATTTATAAAGAAAAAAATGACCATTCTTGGGGGAAAATGTGCTCTACCAAGCTCATTTCTGTGTTTCAAAAAAGATATTTTTTTTTTTACATAAAACATCTCCAGAATAAATCCACTTAAACCAATCTGCGATTCAACATCCTTAATATTAGCTAACGAGTTTCACAGTAATGACCCAAAATACAAGAGAAAGCAGAAAAATCTTGAATTGTTTCATTAGCACATGCAGTGCCCAGCACATTGCAGACGCCCTGTAGAAACTGAACAGTTTTGCTGCAAGCCAAATGCACTTTCAGCAGAATTTATTCTGGAGAGCCAGAAAAGCGGTTTGCTCTTCTCAATCCAGTACACTATGAAAAGCATGGACCAACTCCTTGCTCTCAGGGCCGCAAACACTGTGAGCCCAGAAATGCGTTACAGGTAATAAAAGGAAGACAGAGTGACAGCAGATCGATTGGAGTTGCACAACTAGTGTGAATTAACGACCACGCTCTATCTTTTGAGAGAAGTCCATCATCAATACTTCTTAACAGCCCCTGCTAGAAAGGCAGCCTCACATTGCTTCTCAGCTGAGGCTGACACAAAAATACTGCGCAACCATCCTGTATTTCAGATCCATGCTATTCAGAAACCCTATATTAACAGAGTAAGACAGTATAGAATTCAGGCACCTGTGGATATTACAGGTAAAAAGGAATTGTATAAACTTTGCATTACATTGACTGAAGTAGGTAGATATTGTTGATTGGGCCAAATGGAACGGTAACAACAGATTCATTAAGAGAAAATGTAATCCTCTCATGCCAACAGCTATCAGGTTATAACTGAAGTATTTTTTTATTATAAAACTACAAACAACTGCTCTATGTCTCCAAAAATAAGTTTCAAACTGATTGCAACTAATTTCCTGTTAAAGACTCTGGATGACACGTACTTCCCGATAGTTACACTGAACACATTCATTTCTCTCTAATGTCTCTGAGTAACTCTGAATTAGGAGGGATAGATTTGCAAATTATTCAAGGAAACACAGGGCTCAGAGTGAGCTTTACCTACTGCGAGAGCTGTCATGGTATAAAACTAACCACAAAGATAAAGCATGAGGGAAGAGGTCTCAAATTTTGTTCCCAGTTCTCTTAAAATAAATTTTTAACCTCTAAGACATGGATTCCACCAGTCCCAGTTTATAAATGTGGCATAATGGATTTTTTTAAAATGCTCAGGCTTATCAGATATTCATGCTAATGATGAAAAAATTCTTAGTTCTTACATAAGGCTTTTTATTACTACTGAAGAAAGTTAATTTCAAATTAAGACATATATGTATACCTAGATCATACACAGTTTGAACCTAACAAGATAACTTCAGAGGATTGGGGGTTCTGTTTTTAACATTAAGGGCCATCTTTAGACATCTAATGTTCATTCCACAGAAAAACTACAATCCTGAAGGTTTCCATGTAGTTTTAAGTAACAACTTCTAGTTAATAAGTGAATGGTTGTAGTAAGTCCAATCAAAAAAAGAAATAACCTCTAGTTTATTAAAAAAACCCACAGAATATTTATCTAACAATTGCTTTAGCTTAAGCATCAGTAAAATAATTGTTTCCTCAGAAAACTATTTATCAGTACATTTTTAAACAATGCCATACTGTTGATCACAAGAAGATAAAGGGCTGAACATTTTTGCACATCACACAATTAATTTTAATACAAAGTGCTGTCAGCAGGCAACTTCACCAGATATAGCATAAGACCATTAAGCACAATAAAACAAATGATTTAAGTCACAGGCCCCTTGAAAACTTAATGGAACTGTTGTATAAACATCCTTATCACAGAACTAACGGCATAAAACCTGTTGGAATTACTTCCAGGTACTCCCTACTATTATATAGTAGGTAGCTGAAAATTCTATACTGAAATAGACATTGCTTTTATACCAAACATGGACATTGATTAAAGAAGGTTACACATCCATTTTTATCACACAGAATACAATCTGGTGGTTTTACAAGAACTGCATAGTTTATCCCCCGCAGCAAATAAAATGTAATTACTATTATCTTCTGTTCCCTTTTCCTTACATAGCCTGTGCCTTCATAGTTTGATTTTTTTTTGTTTGTTTGTTTGTTTATAAAATTAATCACAGCTAGCAGGGTGGAAATCACTTTGAGCCTCATGAATGACATCCAAGAGATGGGAAAGGATTAGTTCTCAGTTGCTGCCAGTTATAGCGCCAGGTGGCTTTTTCTGCAGTGAAGGTGTTACCGATAATCCCATTACATTGGTACTAAATCTTGCAGACATCAAAATTATCACCAAGGTTCCTTTTCATCCCATCCTTTCCAAATGACTGGAAGTCGCTTCACCTGAAAGAAGTCAAATCCACATGCAGCTGCTGTTTTAGCAGCCAGCGGACTCCCTGAGAATGCCAATCGTGATCCAATTTCGCTGTGCTGGTGGCCCCCTATTCCCTGTCCAATAATACATCTGTTAAAAAATCCTACAGCTACAAATCAAGTTTAATCCTACCAGGGACCTCATGTTGGTCTTGTCTTCCAAAAAGGCAGCAGGTTTTGCCGTCTATCTCTGCTAGTGTCTGGGGAATACTCTTTAAATCCCAGCCCTACTTAGAAGAATAAGCTAAGGATCACAAAACATGACCTCAAAAACCCTGATATGACTATATTCTGACCCAGAGGCATTCATTCTAGGTGAAGATTAGAACTTTGCATAATAAGATTACACAGCAAGTGAATGATATCAAGGGACTATCCATATGCAGCCGCCTGGTTTTCTATAGACAGCCTGTGCTCTGCAATATGCAGTACAGACGAAACAGAGCTTGGTCTTTCTAGCTGAAATAAAATAGATCCACATAAATTAGTTGCCCATTTCCAGATTCCTAAATCCCCTATTACATCTTTTATTGACAGCTCCTGTGAGGATAGCACAAATGGTATTCTCTTTGTATTCTTTGCTTCTGTAACAATCACACCGAGGGAAATGTACATAGGTTGTCTAGAAATTAACATCTTGTTTGCTGTAATCTTGGATTACAATTAACTGTGTACATAATAAAATTAGGAAATCAATGAGCAGATTTATGATCTACAGAAAACCAATGGCATTGTGTAAGACAGTTTAACATATGGGGCCAAAATTTTAAATACAGGAAAAATCAAAGTCACAGCCAATGAAAGTGTGGCTAAACAAATTGTTGGACTCGATATTAAATAGATTTTTCACTATAATAAAAAATTACCAGTCACATTTGCTTTATATAATGCTTCCTAATTCTGAATTTTCACTGAATATTTAGTGATAGTTTATCAGTTTTTCCTTAGCTAACAGAAACTTCTAACATTCTCCGCTTCTAACCAGCCACCTTTCTTCACACAAGGTAATCCCATAACTTGCCCCATCTCTTTCCCAAAGAGTTACTCTGAGATTATTACTTTAAAAAAAATCCAAAGCCCCAAAACAAAGAAAAAAAAAT